AAAATACTTTGGTAAAAGTTAAAGTCTTCTCTAAAAGTGATACTTGAGTAAAAGTACAAGTATCTTATCATAAAAATACTTTGGTAAAAGTTAAAGTCTTCTCTAAAAGTGATACTTGAGTAAAAGTACAAGTATCTTATCATAAAAATACTTTGGTAAAAGTTAAAGTCTTCTCTAAAAGTGATACTTGAGTAAAAGTACAAGTATCTTATCATAAAAATACTTTGGTAAAAGTTAAAGTCTTCTCTAAAAGTGATACTTGAGTAAAAGTACAAGTATCTTATCATAAAAATACTTTGGTAAAAGTTAAAGTCTTCTCTAAAAATATTACTTGAGTAAAAGTCTTTTGTACTTAAGTATCAAAGTAAATTTCTGACACAAAATGTACTTAAGTATTAAAAGTACTGAGTAAAAGTGAGCAGTTAGATTTTCCAAAATGACATTTATTGGGAGGTGACTTCTCAAAAAAAAWWTTTTTTCTTACGGCSTACAGCTGTGATGGGTTGTGTACAAACTAATAGGATGTCAGAATGGTATATATTTATACTTCTCATCCAACCACAGTTAAATTCACTCTATCCAGGAGATACAGTTTATCAGGGTAGTATTTTTAAGTACTAACAACTCAGAATAAAATAGGAGTTACAACTTTCTACTTCTTACCTTTTTAGAAAATGTAGTGAGTAGAAAGTAAAGATAATTGTGTAAAAATGTAATGAGTAAAAGTAAAAAGTACGCTGAAAAATAATTACTCAAGTACAGATAACCAAAATTTCTACTTAAGTACAGTAACAAAGTATTTGTACTTAGTGACTTTACAACTCTGGAAAAAAATTTTTTTTTTTCTTCCAGGTTACTTTCATCTAATCAGGTCAGAAGCATTGCATGTTTTGCCTCTAGAATTGGTAATGCTTGTTTTGTCTAGAAGTTATTTTCTTTTAGTGTTATTTTTCAAAGTGGTTATAGCCAGTTGCYAGTTGTAGAGCTCATACAGTTAATGGGTAAGTGGACTGAACTTATATCAAGTTTATTTTTTATCAAGTCCCGTCAGACTCCAAAGCACTTTACACTCACAATCACACACTGATGATGATGAGCTACAGTGAAATAAATAGACTTAATAATGTGCAGATGCATACAGTCTTTGGGAGAACATTTAATGAGTAAAATGAACAATACAAAMCAAATATTTAAGTAAACATACAATATCAGTTCAGAAAGTATTTTCTTTTACCAACTGATGAATGACTTGTGAAAGAAAGACCTTTGGCTTRTTTCCTACATTTCAGCATCCAATCAATGACATTGTAAATAAACTCTATGTAAACATCATTAAATAAAGTGCATTAATAGGAAATCTAGTGCTCTTTCTTAAAATATATAAATCCAAATGAGTAAACACTTGCRCTGGCAGCATGTACACATTATTTCACATTACTAAAATAAATAAATAGATTAACAGCAAACATCTGATCACAAACACAGTTGTGAAGAATATCAGGATTTACTAAAATCCTCAAATGTACAAAAACAGCAGACCCACTGAAAAAGCTGCAWGTGAAAAACTACGTATATATTTTTTAAAAAGGGAAACCGCAGTGCTAATCAAACGCACCTGATTAACTGACCGTCAGCAAAAGAGACCAGAGTTTACTGCTCTGGAGCATGCTGGGTTAGCACAGAGCTAAGGAAGAAAGACGTCAGCGGTGAGCTTAGAGGAGCAGCTGTTGTTGCAACATTATTTTGAATATTGAGCCAAAGTTCACGTGAGACACAAAAAACTGACTAATCAGTGACGATAAAGAAGGATCTACAAGCTTCTGGATTTAATCAGATAAACKAGGGTTTTTCAAACACATTTCCATTTTGGCTTATTTTTTTGTTTGCTACTATAATGACATGATAAAATCTGTTGTGTGTTTTTGTACATTTGAGGCTAGATATAAATCATTTWAAAAACTGGTAAAGAAAAAATGCAAAAAACTAAAACTGATCATGACCATTTATTATGTAAGCAAGCACATAGTACAGTAATGGTCCTTTTTTATTTTTTAATCAGTTTAGCTACTCTAAAATCAGTTTTAAGTATTCTTTACTGTTGGTGACAGTTTCCGTTGTTTCTACACAAACTGTACAGGACTGATCAGGAAATGTTGCACACATGAGATTTTGCTTTTCTCATTTCATCTCCGTCAGTTCTCCCCAAGCTTGTACCCGACTCACACATCGCTGGGCAGATCTCAACGCAGGTTTGAGTGATGTGAATTCCAAAGAACCCTTTCCAGAATCGTGTATCTTTGCCTCCGTGGATAAATCGGATATATCTCACTCCTGGTCCGTAGTTTTGAAATATATGCGTCATCTGAAAAAATAATCAGGAAGTCTAAAGTCGAACTTTGTGTATCCTCCTTGACTTTACATCACATTTAGTGGAGAGTATTGTTTTTTTTTTTTTTTACCTGATTCCAGTGTCGAGATGCTGAAGCTTTAAGGTAAACGGTTTGAGGAGCAAACACATGGAGACGCTCCATTTTGCTATTGAGCAACTCCACACGAACATGATACTGTGAGCCACAATCCCAACGGGAAATAATCCTGAATACCACAAGTAAAGACACACACCATCATGTAAACAACAATAAAGCTGCAACTGTTGTCTCTAATAAACAATGTTTGTGTGACTGTAAATGTACGCTGAGAATAAATTCATTCATTCCAATGACAGAGTCATGTTTGTTGGCCGCAAGCACTGCTGCGCCTCGCCGTAGACTGTCCCAATTTGTAAGAACCTACTCATGTGGCTGACAAAACCATAAAAATATAGGCTGCATCTGAGTATCGTACGTGGCTGACAATATCCCAGGATTCAATGCGCCAATAGCAAACTAAACAGAAAAACAGAGTCGCCTGAGTATTTAATTTTATTTTATTCTCATCAGAGTTTGGTAATTCATCACGGATCAAAGACTTTGTTTTTAAATGTTCAATCAGCAGCTTAACTGATTACATTTTTTTCATTTAGTCTCCCAGTGCTGCATAGATATCTTTATATTCTGTTTGCGTCATACTTTTCAACCCGTTCAGTTTTCTCTATTTTCTTTTTGATAAAACATCACTTCAAAAATCAGACTTATCTTTTTACAAGCAGCTAATGATCCTGTTTGGGCCCTATTTATGCTGGATGAAGACCCTGCTATCCTCTTCATAACCTACACAACTTATATATTAGAACTTGGGTCCATTAGAGCAAATCTGGAAAAAACAACTTCAGTGTGAAAACAATCATGAAGCTGCCCTGTAAACTATTAGTACTCCCCAAATAGATTTGCCCTCCTCCAGTATTTTTCACATCCCAAAAACCCTCTCCAGAACTCTTACCACTCTCGATGGTCGATGATATTATCAGGTACGCATTGGCACTGGCACGACTGACCGGATCAAAATGTAGCTACATGCTATAACATGATGTCAAGCTAGCATGAAGCTATAACCACATGTTGGCATAAGGGCCATGCCTAGTCCTGCTTCAAATTCCTGGTGACCAAGCATCACAACATGACTGCATTACAATCACTGCCACCATGTTCCATCCAGGATTATGATGCCTTGACAATATTAAACTCACCACAACCTTGCAAGGAAAGTTCTGCACAATCTCAAACATATGAACTAATACCTTTATCACATGCAATGAGCAGTCCACTCTATTCTCAATAGATACATGAAGGCCTCCCCATTACCATGGAAAGATCATTCTTGTTGTRGCTGATGTTTTTATGTAACAGCAGGGTCAACATCCAGTGTGAAGGAGGCTTTACACCAAATCATATTACAGGTTCAGAGAATAGATATAAACTGCTCAGGAATCAATGTTCAATGGTAGAGACTCCACTAAAGTCTTCTCCAAGGTTAGAAACAATCAGCCTGATGCCTCAGACCACAAAAAAACAATGACACTTGTGTGGTATGCTGCCTAATGGATCCTAAGTGCTGATGAAGCCCCAGGTGAAAGTGTCTGACGTGAACAAGTGTGCTGGGTCCAGAACAAGTATTTTATTAAACCTACATACTACTGTGTGTTTACACCAAAATAAATATCAACTGCAGACTCCAGCCTACGCCACAACATTCACAAAACGCCTGTGGGTGAATATCAGAAAAACAGATGTACTTATAAAGTAAAAAGTCAATCATAATTACAAAAAAAAATTCAAAATACTTGCATTAACAATACAATCAATTTGAAATGTATGTTTTCAGATTAGTGCTCTTTGTTGTAGCCATAATATCATTCATTTTAATGAATACATTTTTGATTTTTTTCCCCCCTCACCAGTCAGATATCCGTATGTCTGGTTGGAAGTGATCCATTAAGAATGAGTTGTAACCTTCCTTCCTTAGATCAATTGTTTGTGACTTTTCACCTATGCTGCAAACAAAACAGACAATTAAGTACACTTTTTTTTTATAATTTATAGTTATATTATACATTTATATATATCAGGAGTGTCCAATCCTGGTCCTTTATTGCTGTTTCCCTGTTTCACTGCTCCAAACACACCTGATTCTGTGATAAGATTACCTCGTCAAGTTCTACAGAAGCCTGGGGTTGGGGGTGGGGGGGGGTGGGGGTTATGCAAAATGGACTTTCTTGAGCTTTGTACCATGCTATGTCATTCCCTCATCAAAAAACATACCAGAATGACTCACTCATGCATGTATGAGAAATCCTTGAATCTCCTGTGGTAGCCATGTAGAGCTGCCTAAACGCTTGCAGGTACAAAGCTCCGCCTTTTTACACAAAGCTCCTCCCTGGAGCTCAGTCTGCAGCTGAACTCCTGCCCCACAGAGCACCCCTCCCCTGAAGCATTGTTGTRAAAACATGCTGAAGTGGGAGTGTCAGAAACGGCTTGAGGTTTTTAAAGTGACAGAGGTCAATTTCAAGGCAATGAGATAGASTATAAGTCAAATTTATTTTTGATATATAGCTTTTGTATAACAATTGAAGGTAACATACGGTAGTTACTTGAGTGTGGTATAAAAGTGAGCTATGTGCCGTGAAAATACATAATACCCCCACTTTACACAATTATTCATTCAAATAAGGTGTGTTGGAGCAGATAACCCTATATAACATGAGGGACAGTGGACCTCGARGACTAGATTTGGACACCCCTTTTAAATATTCTATAATTTTTTTATGCAAATAGAAATTCACACAGGAAAATCTTCAGAGTACTCACTAAAAAGAATTTGCAAAGGTTGTTCGGACTTTCTCATTTGGATGAGGCTGTGGCACTTCTGTAACTCTCCAGCCGTCCCCACCATTCTTCAAAATGTCCCAAGCTTTCATCCCCTCTGAAAAATTAAACATTTTGAAAAATGCATTAAATGCATTCATTTTATTAGATAACAAGGAAATCTGTCACAAAAACAAGAGCACAGATTAAAATTAAAAAAATACTGTCTTCTGCATTCTGTCACAGCAGGAGTTAGCTTGGAACTCAGAATAGCTAATCCTGTCAGAAAACAAATGGAAAACAAATCTTGCATAACCTGATGCAGAGTTATCAGTATAAAACAAAACATCTACTGAACATGAATTGTAGATTCACAGCTATACCACAAGGATCAAATAATATTTTTACCACTAGAACCTTAGAAAAAGCTGCTATGGTTAAATATGAACTAAAAAGGAAACTAAAAATAAATAATATTTGTTAATGTATTTATCTGATAGCGTATCTCATAAACCATTGAACAGATTTGAATTAAACCTACACACAAAAAAATATTGGATGTTCAACTACACTGAGTTTTAAAACAGTGTTGAACTGGCATGGAGTATTGAACTTTTAAGTAGGAGCAGATGTTGTAAGATTTTTTTTCTTCTTTCTGCTCCTTTTCATTTGACATTGTTGCTCTCTTTGTATTTTATT